TGGGCTCACGGGCCTCACGTATAAACATAAGCCTTTTTGGAGTGATTTGTGTCTTCAGTTTAGTTTTGGGAGGTGTATTTCTTTGTAATATAATATGGATGAGTTTATGCTTCTTGAACAGTGTTGGAAAGCTGATTTGAAACTGTAGCTTCTCGAAATACAAGCTACATATAAACTAAAGCAATTTAGTAAGCTACACTTAAGTTGTTAGCAACACAACAACCAACCAACCAGTAGCTATCTTCACTGACTCTGTTTAGGGTGGCAATACATTTTTTAAATAGGTCAGATGATATATTTGGAAGCTTTCTTTCTTTCTTTCTTTCTTTCTTTCTTTCTTTCCAATCACTTGTAAAAAAGATGTGTGCTTAACTGTATTGAATGTACATTTGTAGTGTACTTCGATCAATTCTTTAAAGTATACTTTACAAAACTGCATGCGATAATAATGAAATAAACGTTTAGTTTGTATTTTTATTGTAATTTTTACAGTAGTTTGTTATTCAATATTACATTTAAAGTTAATATATTTTAAATGTAGTAAATTGCATCTTAATCATTATAAATGTGTATTTACAAAAATATTTACATACATGACATATCGTTTTTAATAGAAATTACATTAAAATAAAGTTTAATTTACAGTAAATGCTTGTCAGTACATTCAACAGTACACTATATGGAATTACATATAAAGATGCATTTAAATCCTACTTAAGAGGGTAAAATAAGTTGTTAATTGCGTTTAATATAAATCTGTAATACTTTTTAAATACATGACATAAATAGAAATGACAGAATCCATTTATATATATATAAATTTACCATAAATGTTTGTCAGTGCATTCAGCAAAAAACTTTAACCTCAATTCAAAGACAATAGAAGTAATTATGAAATGTATATATAAAGATGTATGTTGGTCACAAAGCATTCTAAAGTTTAGCTAATTGCATTTTATATAAATTTAAACTATAATTGTAACGAATCATCCACTGAAGGCGAGTTGAAGTGAGAACCCAAGTGCAGCTTTATTTACAGTGATCCAAACATCCAAACATAATCCGAGACTTG